TGTCCGCTTCCGAATCGCTAAGATGATAAATTTTGGTATGTGTGTTTTACCACAGTCAAAATAAAATGGAAAGGACGCGCGTCCTGAGGCTGCAGACTTTGCTGGCTTCAGGGGAAGGGAGAGGGAAGGAGGAGCTCGGACTTACCCCCAAAGCTGACCCCTCCCTGGGGTAGCTCCTTATCTAGGGGACAAGTAGCACATTCTCAGTGACTACAGCTGGCACTGTGCTCACAAACGCCTCTCTTCCCATCCCCTTGTGGCCTGAGCACAGAGCTCCGCTGGGCCTTGGCCTTGGCTTTGGAGGGCCTCCCAGCCCAGGCTTGGGCAGAGCAGGGGAGCTGGCATTGGACTGGGACGGACTCCCGGCAGGAGACAAATGCGCCAGAATCCTTGTGCCCTCTCCACGGTTGGCTGTTGTTGAGAAATGCAAACCCCGCCCCAAATAGTGGAGCAGGCATGGGGTGCTCCCTTCATTACTCGAGCGTCCGAAGAACGTTTTGCCAACACAAATGGCAGTCTGTGACAGACTGTCGCTCTTACTGGATGTGTCTCTGCGCTCTCATTTGGCTGAGTCCTGAGCATGTTGCAATATGCCTCCCCTCAAAAGACTTTGCTGGGTGCCTGCCATTTCCCAGGATGTATATAAAGAGATGGCCATTGCCTATCATTGCCTCCCTCTCTAACATATATGAAACACATTTCCCAATTAGCAAACTATAGGTGGGTGGCCACACCTTAAGTGTCTGATTGATTGGTGCCATTTCAAAGAGTAGGTTCCCTGAGGCCACTGATTCCCATTGTATCTGATATGACAGATTATCTCGTCATAGTTGTTCTGTGGAGATTTGATTAGTCAGAGGGAGCAAAACTAACCAACGCCTGGGATCCTCAGGTGTCTGGGAGAAGGAACAGGCCCGAGACAAAAGTGTTTGGCGTTGGCATGTTGCGATGGCATTTGAAGGAGCCACACACACGTGTGAGAAATTCCAGTGACTCTGGTGGCCCATGAAAAGTCATAGCTGCAAACGCTCACAAGACCAGGGCAGACACGCTTTAGAAAGTCAGGCGGCGTAGCTGGCACATTTCACTGGTGACAGTTCCCTCTGACTTCAGGCGACACGCGCTTGGAATGAACGACTAGGTTGCTGCAATTTTCCTGTCGTTGAGCACACACATTCTTACCTGCTTTTCTTCATTTTTAATAGAATTTATAGAACCAAAACCCCCTCAAATCACAGCTCTTCCTTCCCAAATCTATATATGTGGAAGGTATTAAAGGTCGATTGGAGAAATACCAAGTTCACAGGAGTGGCTGCGTGCAGGGAGGGGCAGAAGAGGGTGGAGTCCCAGGGGGTGAGAATTTTGAGCCTCAAAACAGCCATGATGGGTATTGTTTAATTCTCATAATAGAGGATGGGTACATTTGCTATAGTATATGTTTCTTTTTTGTGGTTTGTTGTTATTTCTTAAATATATCTTTATTGATTTCAGAGAGAGGAAAGGAGGGAGAGAGAGAGATAGAAACACCAATGATGAGAGAGTCATTGATCAGCTGCCTTCTGCACACCCCCTGCTGGGGATCGAGCCCGCAACCTGGGCATGGGCCCTGACTGGGAATCGAACCACGACCTCCTGAATCACAAGTCGATGCTCAATAGCTGAGCCACGCCCGGGTGGGCTATAGTATATCTTTTTTACTGTAAGTTAAAAAAATATCCACAAAACCACAAGGCACGCTCATCCCAGGCCTCGGCCCTTGGATACTCGTGTGGTGTCCCGGCCACGTCTCTGCTGCTCCTTCCCCAACGGTTTGCAGCTTCATCTTCCTGGGCCTGGATGTCCGTGCTCCTCAGAGCTGTCCAAGGACCTCTTTTCAATTTGCACAAAGTCTTGAACTATCTCAGGCGTGTCTATCGTTTCAACACTAACCCATCCTGATAACTCCCCAAACTGCGCGGATANCAACACTAACCCATCCTGATAACTCCCCAAACTGCGAGGATACCCTAGAACTTTCTCCCGAGCTCCTGCTGAGCGAGCCTCCCTTTCCCACGAGACGACTCCACTTGGTTGTCCANAAGACGACTCCACTTGGTTGTCCCACGGATTTCTCAGACTCAACAGTGTCCCGGGTGGAAATGAACTCCTTCTCCCCCACACCTGTTTTACCTCCTAGAATTTCTCTCTCAGGAAATATGGTCACATCTTTCATCATGGTGCCCAAGCCGGAAACCTGGGTGTTTTCCTGTCTCTTTCCCCCCCACTTCCTACATTCAGTCCTTCACCTCCTTGTGTTGTTTCTAGAAGTATCGTTGCACCCACCCAGTTCTCTCCATTTCATAGTAGACCCCCTGGCCCACCGTCTTAGGCCTGGGTTATTATAGCAGCTCCCGGCTGGTCCCAGACGAGAACCTTCCCAATGCCCTTGGCACTGCACCCAGGGCGGTCCATCGAAAATGCCAACACGGTTGTGTCTCAATTTGCTTAAACCCTCCCAAGGCTTAGTGCTGGAACTCCCAGCCCGATGGCGGCGGACTGCTCACCGCCCACGGGCACCGTGCCCACTGCTGTTCTCATCTTGATCCCGCCTCCCCGTGTCTTTCTAACCCTGAGCTAAGCCTTTGCCCAGCTGTCTGCTTTGCCCCTGTCTGGGCAAACTGCTCCTCCCTCCGCTCCCATCCTGTGTTCACCAAGCCAAGCCCTGCCATCCATCCATCCATCCATCCATCCATCCATCCATCCATCCATCCATCCATCAGGGTCGACTTCGCCCTCTCTCAGAAACAGTCCCAAGCCACTGGCCTTCTTGCATGGTGTTGCCAGTGCCTCCCTATTGCGCATGCTCTCTAAGCCGTCAGCTCTGACCTGTCTCCCTGCTGGGTTCACCGCTCTCTTCTCAGCGATTAGCCCATCGGAGGTGCTTTNTGTGTTCACCAAGCCAAGCCCTGCCATCCATCCATCCATCCATCCATCCACCCATCCATCCATCCATCAGGGTCAACTTTGCCCTCTCTCAGAAACAGTCCCAAGCCACTGGCCTTCTTGCATGACTTTCCAGTGCCTCCCTATTGCGTATGCTCTCTAAGCCGTCAGCTCTGACCTGTCTCCCTGCCGGGTTCACCGCTCTCTTCTCAGCGATTAGCCCATCGGAGGTGCTTTGTAAGTATTTGCTCAATGAATGAATAAATGGGGGGGCCGTGAGAGTTAATCGGGGTGCTGCACACGGCCCACACCCAGACCATCCAAGGACAGGTAGATAGTTTGACTACTTTAGGCTCCTCATATAAATAGGATCTATTGTATTTGTCCTTCTGTCTGGCTTAGTTCCCTCCGCATAATGTCCCCCAGGTTACTAATTCCGTATTGTATGCTTAAAAAGTTGCCAAGAGGGCAGAACTTAGCTGTGTTCCTGCCACACACACAAATAAAGAGGGCAGGAGGAAACCCTGCAGCTGATGGAGGTGTTTATGGCACTGACTGTGATGACTGGTCTGGGGGTGTATACTTAACCTCCAGGCTCACCGAGTAGTACAAGTTAAATATGTACCCCTTTCTGGAAGTCAATTTTACCTCAATCAAGTGGCTTTATTTTTTAAAATTTATCTTTATTGTTGAAAACATTACAGATGTCCCCAATCACATGGTTTCAAAACAACAAGAGAAAAACAGGTAAGATGGTGTTGCTCAGCCTGAGTGTGTGGCGGTCATTGCCACCCGGCAGGGCCTCGGTGGGCACGTGAAGGTCACAGCAGGACCGGCCTGGGAGGGCTGCGGCTCCAGGAAGAGGCAGGGCCCGCAGTAGCTCAGTTGCCCTGAAGAAATGGTTTAAGCCAGAGCTGGATGCGGTTTCCCGTCCCTCATGGGAAATGTCACCTTGTTTTACATCAAAGTGTGCACGAGCCACTGCTCAGGGAGACACTCGGCCTCGCAGCCTGAGCGCTGGGAAGGGGCTCCGGGGGAGAGGAGACAGCGTCTCGGCCCGGTGAAGGCGACTTTTCACCTTCGGATGGCGCTGTGGCCCGTGGGAGGCTGGAGGAGGTGTGTGGGGGGGCGAATGCTGAAATTCACTTTCAGGGAGTTTAGAGACATAGTTAAGTGTTTTTAGGACCCTGCTTAAAGATGCCCCTCACTTCAGTTCGGTTCATTGTAGAAACAATCCTCTCTGACCTTGGACAGATTCCTTGCACTTTCTCGCCCGGCGTTTTCTCTTCTGTAAAGCGGGGCTACTTCCACACATCTCAGGAGGGCACCCCGAAGACTCAGGGGGCGGAGAGGAGACACTGCTCCTTCCCCTGGCCTGGAGCGGGGCGCCCAGCTGCTTCCTGTGGACTGCTGACCCCGGGCACAGGGGCGTGGAGCCCACAGGTGCGTGGTGCCCCAGGTGGGACACAGGGGCACCTGCTGGCGGGGGCACTGGGCCAGTTCCCTTGTTAACTGGCATCGACGCTGCTGTGGGAAGGAGTGGGGAGGGGTGCAGGAGGTGGGTGCTCTGCTCTCCTACCTGTCGTCTCCTTTATGTCCTTCTGTGCAGCTGGGTCTGCCTCCTTCTGTTTCTAAGCACAGTAATCAAGTCCTTTCATTTTATCTCATTGAGTGTGCTCTCTGCCCAGGTTGTCATGTTTATCACTGCGGTGTGTGTACGTGTGTAAGCGGAGAGAAAGTGTGGGCGGGGGAGAGAGAGGCCGCCTGGCGTGCGGCCCTGACAGCGTCTGCGGGCCGAGCTGCAGACGGAGCTGCCGCTTTCACCAGCCGGGCTTCCTGGATTGCCGCGTATCCCCGGGGTCAGCTCAAATGATAATATGCAGATTCCAGTAACTATATATCCACTGGTCTAACCACGGAGCCCGAATGATAGCTAATAATAATGTTATGCCACGGATGCTGGAAGAAGANTAGCTAATAATAATGTTATGCCACGGATGCTGGAAAAAGATTCTATTCTGAAAATGTCTTTCCTTCTGACGGGAAAAGAGATGCTCAGTAACCCTACTTCTATGTACCTCCTGAAAGTGATCGTCTTCCACGTGGGCCTCAGAGCCGCAAGCCCGGATGGTTTCCTGCTCACCTGAGCTGAGAACTGCTGGGTTGTGCGCCATATTCATTGCGTGAATTAGGCGACCTCTTATGCACCGTACTCGTTGCATCCACAGGCACAGAACCAATGCTCCCCTGATGGTTTTTCGCTTGCATTTGAAAACAGCGATTTTTAATAAGTAGTGAGCCTGATCCTATACACAAGGCGAGCCTGCAGCCAGCGGACAGGGGCCATGTGAGTGTTTGAAGGAGCGCAGCAGCCCTGATAGCGACCCGGCCCCTCCCAGCCTTGCAGGAGGCCAGGTCTGACTCTCGGTGCCCGTGTTCTGCTCGCAGGCTGGCGAGCTGGGGAGTTGGGCGGTGGGAGGCAGGGGCCGGCACCTGCGGGCAGCGTTCCCTCCAGCTCGCTGACGCGCTGCCCTGACCGACAGGGTGCCCTCCTTGTGCGCCAGAAGCAACGGCTCTTCCAAAGAGAGACACACAGGGACAGTGGGGACTGGCCGCAGCCCCGGCGCGTTGCTGGGAAAACAGAGCAAAAGGAGGCTGGTCTGTGTCCGCCGGTTTGCAGCAGCAAAGCCAGCCCTGGGAGGAAGTTTTCTCGGCCCGAGTTCCCCGGTCCGCAGGTAAATGATCACTGGAGCATGGACCCGGCTTGTTTTCAAAGGGCCGCGAGGCTAGACCCTGCGCTTGTTCCAGGGAGCTCCTCCGGTGGGTGACGTTCCCACAGCGGAACCCCGGCCCGGGGCGGCGCGCTCGGGCTCCGCTGGAAGGAACTGGGCGTCTCCGTGAAGGGACAATAATTCAGTTATCTGGTGACGGGCCCAGCTGATGACAGCAGAATTACTACGTAAAAAGGCACACATTTGAGTGTTTTTAAGTCATGATTCTTGTTGTCATATAGAATGTCTGGAAGTTACATTGGAAGCAAAATAAACATCGACGGAGAAAGAGGAGAGAGGGGCACCCCTCCGACACTCTCGGTCAACTTGAGGTTTTTATTTATTATTATTAATTATTATTATTGTAATACAGGCCCCCCCGAGCTATCTGTGGCCCTCGTCTGTGGCAGGGGGGCCGCTGCAGGCGCCCGATGCTGGGTGGTGCTGCCTGGGAGTTTGCGGGGGAGGGACCGGAGGTGCCAGCCTCCGTCGGGGGGCGCGGAGACGCGGCAGAGGGGCCCGGCGGAGGTGGTGACTGAGAGCACCCCTGCGAACCCAGCCTCTGCCTGTCTCTGAAATAGCGCCAGGGGCTCAGTGACAACCTGCG